CCACACTCCCACGCCTGTGCGCCGCGATTCAGGTTGTTCTCTCTTTTCCCCCCCTTCCCAAAGGTGCGTTTCTCATCCCCTATTTGATGATGTTGGCTCTAGCTGGGATCCCCATTTTCTTCCTGGAAGTCTCCCTGGGGCAGTTTGCTAGTCAGGGCCCCGTGTCGGTCTGGAAAGCCATCCCCGCCTTGCAAGGTGAGAGGAGCAGGAGCCGGCCCGGATTTTGGGAAGCATGACCTGCAGCCCCCTCTCTTGCATGGCTTCAACTCCGCTGCTTCCTCCTTTCGCCCCCCACCCCGCTCCGCAGGCGCGCAGCCGCATGCTACGGGCTCCGCTGCTGGTGTGTGAGCAGCGTTTAGCGCGCAATTTGCGCGGTCCTTGCGCTCGGAGCCGTTTCTGGTGGGGGCTTCGCTCTGACCCTGCGCCGGCCGATGCCGCCGGGACGTCCCGGGATTAACCGCGTTCTCCTCCTCTCTCCCTCCCTCTCTCGTCCTCTCAGGCTGCGGCATTGCGATGCTGATCATCTCGGTTCTAATAGCCATATATTACAATATTATTCTGTGCTACACACTTTTCTACCTTTTTGCGTCCTTTGTACCTGTGCTACCTTGGGCTTCCTGTAACAACCCGTGGAACACGCCAGACTGTAAAGATAAAAACAAACTTTTGTTAGGTAAGTTGGGACAGGCTTCCTTTCGTGTGGGTGGTGGTTTGGTTTTTCTGTTTAGTATTTCCCCCCGCCCCGCCCCCCATGGCCATGGAGAGTTTCTAGAGCTTTTTGCGGCTCAGTTGAGCCAGCGGAGACTTGGGATGCCTGTGGCCGGGTGAGGTTCCTGGCACAGAGGAACTGTCCCATTTGAAGTGAGCTGCATCATATGGACCTCTCCCCTCGTTATTTAACACGCTCTTCATCAAGGATAAGTGGGCTTTTTCAACTGTAATGCTAAAGAAAGGCTGACTGTCCCCTCCATCTTCTGGTGGAAACTCTGTAGGGCAGAAAGCACCGAACCGAACGGTAGAGCTGGCGGCTTCTGGTTTCTGGCAGAAAACTCCTTGGGTTTTAGAGAGGCTTAACTTTAATGCCAACAAAAAACTCACAACGAAATCCATTTTTACAAAGCGGCCCAAACCATAAAATTACATGAAAAGGGGAAAAAGCAAACCCCCTCCCTGCCGTGCCCCAGGCTCCCAATGTCCAAGAGGGCAGTGAGAGCTCCCTGGAGGCTGGCAGAAGTACATTTTCTTCCTCAGGCTTTTTTTACTTTTTCTTTTTTCTTTTTTTTTTTTTAACTCCTTAGACATTTGGGATAGAGGAGAAAATAATATTTTAAGACCCAGTCCTCTCAGACTCTTAGAGTTGCAATGTGTTCCGGAAATCTGTCACAGAACAAAAGTTCATGTGTGTGACTTAATGCTTTTTGCTATAATTTTGCAGCCAACCTGAAAAAAAAATCTAGACAAGTTATTTTTCTTCTTCTTCCCCCTCCTCTCTTCCTAGATTCCTGCATTATTGGTGACCACCCAAAAATACAGATCAAGAACTCTACTTTCTGTATGAGTGCCTATCCAAACTTGACTATGGTTAACTTCACCAGTGAAGGAAACAAAACATTTGTCAGTGGAAGTGAAGAATACTTCAAGTAAGATCTTTATTTAGAGGTGTTGTGTTAATCTTTCTCTAAAATCCACTGTAACACAACAAATCACTGTTTAGAAGATTAGAAATGCAATAGTTGAGGACAACAAACAACGTCTAGTTTTTACACTTAGGAATGCCAAAAGCTAAGTTTCAAATGCTGGATTATTTGTCTTCCCTGCCTATGGTGCTTAGCACAGCTGGGGTGTTGGCCCGTGCATAGCGTTTTTATCTACTACTGCAATGCAGATAAATAAAATAATACATGGTGAGAGTCACTGGAACCTTCCAGAGAAAACTGTTGAGATCGCTGAAGCAAAACAAGATGCCCTAGGAATTTGCACTGAATTACTCCCAGCAGTTGCTGTCATTATTTTTTTTTCCTTTTAATATTTTTTTCCTTTTGTTATCCTTAGGTACTTTGTGTTGAAGATTTCGGCAGGGATCGAGTATCCTGGTGAGATTAGATGGCCCTTGGCACTATCTCTTTTCCTAGCTTGGGTGATTGTATATGCCTCCCTTGCTAAAGGAATCAAGTCATCAGGAAAAGTAAGAAAAATAGTTATGATTATACACTTGCAAGAAGGAAGCATGCTGCTTTGATGGAGTCACACTCTTAAGGCAGTAAATTATTGAAAATTATTTTTAGTCAACGGCTAAGTATTCATGAAATGCCTTTTTCCTGGTTGCGTTTTCCTGTCTAGCCAAAACCTAAATCAAAGAATTTTGATTCAGCGTTTGTTCCTGATCTTCAGTAAGTTTAAAATGAGCCCTTGAGCTTTGCTCAGCAGTTGAATGGCAAAAAAAGTGTCTTCAGCAGCCTAGGGATAGTCTGTGTGGTGTTCATTACAATTCTGTAGTCATTTCACATTTCACTGTAGTCAGGGAAGGTGTGATGTAAATTAAGAAATGTATTTTAAAATCATAACCGAACTTAAAATGATTTACGATAAGTGGCGTATGACAGTGAGTATCCTCTTTTCCCAAATACTAGTGTGCCATCTTTCTCAAACTCCTGCTTGCTGTAATTCAGCTCCTTGCTCTGTTTCTCTGACATCTCTCATCATTCTCTCCCTTGCCCCTCAAATCTGCAGCTTTCTGCCAGGCCACCTAATTAGCAACCGTGCCAAGAGGGAGCATGTATTCTCATTGGCCTGGAAGTACAGGCATACAAGTTGGCCAGGTAGCCATGTGAGCAGAGAAATGCAGATTTTTCTTTAGCAGCAGCGCTGTTTTGGCTGGGGCTGGTTGTCGGGTTTTTTTTATGTGTGTGTGTGAAACCTGCA